CCGTGCGTTCGTAGTTCACCCATGCTACTGATGTGCGAGGCCGCGGGGGGAAGTAGCACGCAAGGGCCGTCGACTCAAAGATGCCTGGTGGAGCCCGGCAGTGAAGGCCACGCCCTTGCATATGAGCGGGAGTGACCTCGCGGCGGATGGCATGCTCAGGTCGAACACGCTGCCCCCAGAGCACCGCACAGCCACAAGAGCAGTTCCTGAGATGTGACACCTCCCACCCAGCCTGATGCAAAGTGCGAGCGCAAAAACATCGTCGCCGAATGGTAGTGCCACGAGTAGTCCGCTGCTTAGTGGCTACTAAGGCCAGCGTGCCAACCTTGTGGGGAGCAGCACTGATATCGTCAAGTCGATCCTGCGAATTCGCAGCCATCGGGTTGTATGTCCTGAGGAAGCTGCATTGTGGCGGCCAGCCACCAATCTACATGCAGCGCGCGCATGTGTCAATACAGGACGGGCCTGCTATGGAGTGCCACGGATCAGCTTGCATCGCATCTGGGCTGACATGTTTGGAGGAGGAAAATGATGATGATGATGATGATGATGATGATGATGATGAGGAGGAGGAGGAGGAGGAGGAGGAGGAGGAGGAGGAGGAGGAGGATGATGATGATGATGCTGCTGATGATGATGATGATGCTGATGCTGATGCTGATGCTGATGCTGATGCTGATGCGATGATGAGATGATGATGATGATATGATGATGAGATGATGATGATGATGATGATGATGATGATGATGATGATCATGATCATGATGATGATGATGATGATGATGATGATGATGATGATGATGATGATGATGATGATGATGATGATGCTGATGATGCTGATGATGATGATGATGATGAGGAGGAGGAGGAGGAGGAGGAGGAGGAGGACGGCAATGAGGATGACAAGGAAGCGGAGGAGGATGAGCACGAGGAGGAAGAGGAGGATAAGGAGGAGGAGGAGGAAGAGGAGGATGAGGATGAAGGGGCAGACAAGCTTGAGGAGAAGGATGAGGAGGGGGAGGAGGTTGGCGGATCCAGGCATTCGGACGCTTTTAGCTCTTCTCTGGGCCCGGTGGCTTGTGGATGCCTCTTGTGAAAAGGAGGAGGAGGAGGAGGAGGAGGAGGAGGAGGAGGGGGCGGAGGAGAAGGAAGAGGATGGCCAGCGCCGCGTCCTTTTCTGTGTCGGGAGGGGTTCAGTCCCCTTGCATCGATGGTTGGAGTAATGGCATGCAATGGGCTCGCTCGATCCAGTTCCCTCCTGATCATCCGCCTCGATGGCCGGAGCAGTGCTCCTCCAGCTCCTCCTCTTCAACCTCCTCCTTCGACTCCCTAGGCCTCCGCCGACGTATCTTTTTCATCGCGTCGCCCGCAGGCTTCTCCGCCAGTTCCTGTTTGCCAGCTTTGCCCCTCCCAGGTTCTGGTCTGACGGCCTCAGGGCCCGAACATGGGCTTTCAGATGTCGAAATCAGAGACGGATCCAGATCCTTCCTCGATCCTCCTCTATCCGCCGTCTTTCTCGACCTTCCTATCTCCCTCGATCCTCCTCCCTCCTCCGCGTCACGTGTCGGGACCCGCTGGAGCCACAGTGCTTGCACTACGAGAGCTCGGATGGGCCACCATCAGCAGCACTGTTTGGAAGATGGACCTAGGGGTTCGTATCAATGTTCGTGATGAGGCGCCGTCCAGCATCCGTCAGCTTGCTAGAGATGCTGGAGTGCGCCGACAATGGGAAAAATGGGCCCGACGGCCACCTCTTCCAGGACACGACCCCATTCCTCGAGAGCCCATTGGATATTGGATAGAGCCAATACTACAGATCCTATCCAAGGTTGAACTACAAGATGGTGACGACTCTGGGAGTGACGACGAGCCTGGTGATCCCGACCGTGTGGATGATGCAGGTCCGACCCCGCCCCCTGTTGGACCCAACCCTTTTGCTGACAACTGGAAACCCTTCCTCAAAGAAGCGGGCCTTTTACGTGCTTACTTGGGAGGCGGACTCTGGAGCCCAAGGCTTGCGAAGTGTGGTTACAGGGACACTGACACATGCCCTCGGTGTATGGCGGCATCATGTAATTTGTATCATATTGTGTACGAGTGTCCAGCACTACATACGCAGCGTCAGCTACACATGTCTCACACTCTATGTTATGGTCCACCGGACTCGTCTCTCGCTCATGCTTCCCACCCTTGCCACCACGGGACAGCACTGGGCACTGGCACATACTATATGGCGACCCGCAAGGTATCACAGGTAACGTATACACGGACGGTGCGTGTCAGCGTATGTGGTACTGGCCTGAGGCTACACGTGCAGGATGGGGTTTCTGTCAGTTGAGTGAGCCGTCTCCAGGGGTAGATATTCTTGTTTTTGGGGCTCTCCCAGGCCCCATACAGACCTCGCCCAGGGCCGAGCTTTACGCTTTCCTCCAGGTCCTTCAGGTATGCCTCCCCCCCGTTTGTGTGCACACCGATTTCAAAGGCCTGGTTGATGGCCTTACCCTTGGAGCCCGTTGGTGCTGTTCGCCTCGGCGTTTGAACGCTGATCTCTGGGAACGCATGTGGGCCACGATTTCTGATCTGGGCGAGGTGGGGTCTGATGTGAGAGTTACCCTAGTCAGAGGACACCAGCAGGGACAGAGCACCGACGCCCGCGGCAACCGGTGGGCTGACCTTGCTGCACGCAACGGCAGAGACCTCCACTCCATCCCCAGAATACAGGTCAAAGCTATGAAGCTTGGCCACCAACATTACACTCACATCCTGCGATGGAGCACTACCGCCCTGGGACTCTTCTTTGGCGAACAGCGGGTGGACACGCGGCCCCGCACGAAATGCCGACGCCCTCGGCGTTCGTCGGCCCCACTGGAGCCCAGGGAGGAATCGGTTCACCTGCGCCATGTTTTTACCCAGGTCCCCCATCGCAGCATTTGGAGATGTGAGTTTTGTAGAAAGGGCTCGAAGCTGGAAAGGACCCGTCGTCGTCTCTCTGAGCTTGCCTGCCCTGCTCGTTTGCGCGCTGCCGCCGCCATCCATCGGCACCCCTCCTCTGTCAACCCACCTGGGCACGCTGCGCGCGCCCAGGCTGACAATGAAGGGCAGATGCCGACGTATGAGGGCAGCAGCTTCGGTGCTGCTGTGCGACCTCGCTCCCCCTCGGACTCGTTTCGTTCGGTTCGCCCTCGGACGGAGTCCCCCACGCGTGGCCTGGAGCGTGACCAAGGGGAGGCGGATCCCCCCCCCTCCGTCCTCGGGCCTGGGGAGCCCTTCCTTGCCTCGCCCTCGTAGCCCCTCCCCTGGCTTTGGAAAAGGCACGTCAGGGCACGTGTGGGCTTCGAGCCCGTCGCTGCGGCATGGGATGGAGCTGCGAGTGTCCAGGCCGAAGCCACTGCTAGGGTTCTCTCTTTTCCAGAGCGCTCGGGGCCCACCTTCCTCCCCGACAAGCGGAGGCGGATCGGCTCCAAGCGCCCAAGTAGGCCCTCGCTGGCCGACACGACTGTACCAGCCGAGCCTATGCCAGGAGCGGGCCCCGTTCCTGCCACGGCCGCTCGCGGCCACCGCCTCTGGGTTTCCTCGGGCCACGTTTGTCTGTGCGTTTCCTGTGTGGCTTTTACGACGGGCACGGCTGGTCACCTTCTAATTGACTGCCCGTCGGGAAGCGCGCACCGCCTGTCAGAACGGGCGGTGCGCAACCGACGCCTTTTCATGCAGGGTTTTCATCCTGCGGACGAAGGAATGGAGGGCTCACGTCGAGTTCCCGCACCTCGTCCGCTCCTTGTCTCAGACCCTGAGACTTACTGGGTCAGGCTCCACGGGAGCCCACACCCAGGCTGCGGGGCTTAATCACCGCTTCTTTTGTCTGTGTGGCTGGTACCCGAGATCCTCTTGGTGGGGTCCCAGCCTCCTCACAGGCCTGCCAGGCTGCAAGCAGCTTGGCGCCCTTGGTGGGCGCTCGTGCACAGCGCGACGCTTCCATCGGCAGTGCCGTATCCTCCCTTTCTCTCCCTCCTCCTCGTCCTCCTTCCTCCTTCTCTTTCCTCATCCTCCTCCTCCTCCTCATCGTCAACCCTTGTCCTCCTCACCCCTCCTGCTCCTCCTTTTCCATCCCTTTTCGCCATTCGTATCTCCTCCCTGTCGTGCCCCCAGACTAGTTGGTAGGGTGGGCCTGGCGTTTCGCCTGGTAATTCCACACGACGCATGACCCTGAAGCTTGACATTTGCAATAGTTTCACGGATGGAGGGCGGGTGCGTTTCAAAAGATGGTTTTCTCGCCGCAGCGCTGCGCGCATTCGTCTCAGAAGTTTGCAGACATCTCCATGATGGAGGGCGGGTCCTGTTAAACTGTGGTTTTCGCTCTAGTGCCGCGCACATTCGTTTTGAAAGCTTGCAACAGTTTTAAGGATGAAGGGCTGGTCCTGTTCAAACGGTGGCTCTCGCCTCAGCGCCACGCACATTCGTCTTTCAAGTGTGCAGCTGTTTGTAAGGATGGAGGGCGTTTTTTTCAGCATGTGGCACTCGTTTCAGCGCCGCGCACGTTTCTCTTGTAAGTTACAAGTGCTTCAGGGATGGATGGCGACTCTTTTTCTAAATCCGAGTATTGCCTTAGCGCCGCGCGCATTCTTTGTAAACCTTTGCAGCGGTTTCATGGGATCATACGGTTGAAGTTCCAGGAACGGTGTTCTTGCATGGTTCAATATTGTCAGGGCGCAGCAGTCACGTTGATTCGCGGTATTAAAGTCGTAAGAACGGTACTTTGGCATGCTTCAGGGCTGTCAGGGCGCACAAGCGACGTTGAAGTCCCAGGAGTTATGGTTTGGCACGATCGATGATTCTCAGATGGTTGTCTTTCAATGGGGCACTGCCCTCAATGAGTGCAGGTCCTTGTAGGGACTCGTGAAGAGGGAACCTGGAAGAGGGTTGACTGCAACATCGCAGATGCGCCTTCAGTGTGCACTGGTCCTCCTCTCTTTTCTCCTCCTCCCGCCCCCACCCATCCGCAGGACGACATCACGGTCGTGGCAGCCTGGGTGCTGCCCGAGTGCGGATCCACCATCCCCCCGCGGTCGCCTCGGCCGCCGCCCGCCGGACGCCTTTGCTGAGGCCTTGGGAGGGCCCGCGGAGGCCCCTGAGTGGGGGCGGCCTTTCGGGGGGGGGGGGGGGCGGCGCGGCTCGGCGGGAGGGCCTGCGGGGGCCCCATTGGAGGAGGAGGAGGAGGAGGGAGGGAGGAAGAGGAGTAAAACGAAAAGGAGAAGGAGGAGGAGGAGGAGGAGGAGTAGGAGGAGGAGGAGCAAGAGGAGGTGGAGGAGGAGGAGGAGGAGGAGGAGGACCTGTGCAAACCTTAGATTCATCAGCGATTTTGGAGTAGACCCTCCCCCCAAGCTCTCTCCTCATAGGCCTCTACAAGGGTACATTTCCACTGAGGGGACTGCCTCGGTGAGACAACCGTTTGAAGACCCTGAAGCATGCCAAAACACCATCCTCTGGACTCCAACGCCACGGATCAACCTGATCGTTGCGTCTTGACGATCTTGAATCGCCCTCACAATCCTGAATCCTTCCAACACCATTTCTGGTACGCTGACCATCGGGATTCGTGAAACTCTTGCACTTCTTTAGATTGACTGTGCGCGTCGCTAAGGCGAGAGCCGCATTTTGGAAACGAGCCGCTCTCAATCCGTAAAACAATTGGCATGTTTTCAGACGAATGTGCACGGCGCTCATGCGAGAGCCACATTTTGAAAACGAGTGTCCCTCAATCCGTGAAACTCATGCTTATTTTCAGAGCGAATGCACGCGGCGCTAAGGCGAGAGCCACATTTTGAAAGCCAGCCGCCCTCAATCCGTGAAATCCTTGCAATGCTTAACAACGAATGTGCGCGGCTCTGAGGCGAGAGCCACATTTTGGAATCAACCCGCCCTCCATTTGTGAAACTTCTGTCATGCTTTAAGCTCCAGGGTCATACATAGTGAGGAAGTCTCAGGCGGAACGCTCGGCCCGCCCTTTCGACCAGCCTCGGGGTGCGACAGGGATGAGTTTTTTGTATACGGATATGATCTGGAGGAGCTGGAGCACGAGGAGGAGCAGGAACATGAGAGGAAGAGTATTGAGGAGGAGGAGGAGGAGGAGGAGGAGGAGGAGGAGGGGGAGGCGGAGGAGGAGGAGGAGGAGGAGGAGGAGGCGGAGGAGGAGGAGGGGGAGGAGAATGAAGTTTCTAGCCTCCTGGGCCCTCGTCGGACTCCAAAGGGCTTCATTGCGGGGGCCCACGGAGGTCTCCGCAGAGGCCTCCCAGGGACCTCGAGAGTCCGTCTGGTTGTCATCACAACACCGCGGCGCCCAGTTTTCGGTTCCCTCCTCCTCATTCTCCTTCTTTTCCTCCTCGTCCTCCTCGTCCTCCTCTTCCTCCTCCTCGTCTTCCGCTGCCTCCTCCTCCGAGGGGCCGTTTCGGCTCCTGTCCAGCACCGTTCACAAAACAGCCAGGGCCAAGCAGAAGCGCTGTCCCCAGATGGCTGTCGAGAAGTCTGGGGGCCCACAGCACGGAGAGACCCTGGTGACCGATGTCTGGGCACGCAGGCCTGGCCAGATCCTTGGTATCGCTCGGACGTGTGCACTTTTTCTCGGCAGGGATTATTAAGGAGCATCCTGGATCATCCTGCAAGACCACGCACGAAACCGAAAGAAAACAGGGAATGGACGTCCGAGCCATGGCCAGGATCCGTTCTGGGCCCCGGCTTTGGTTCGCAGACCCTCCCAGCCCAGGCCATGAGGGCGTGAGCGCAAATCCGCGTCAAGTTGGGGCCCAGGACGGTCCTGACCATCGCTGACCAGAGGCGCTCGCAGTACACCCTTCACATGTGCTGGCCGCGCCGATCCTGGGCTTGGGGCCACGATCTGTGGATGCGCCCTCGTGGCCTGGCCAGCAGGGCGGAAGCACCGATCCTAAGCCTAGGACCTGGACGGACCTGGCCAGCATCGATGCAAGCGTACAGTTGGCGTCCAGGGCCTGGGCTTCTTCAGGCATGCCCGGTGCCCAGGGCTCCGGTGGGAGGAGCATGGATCGATCCAGAGCGTTGGAAAACACTCTCAGGGCGTCCTGGGGCGCTCTGGCACGGCCGTGGGGTCCGTCGCGTCCCCTGGGCCCGCGGGCTCTCTGCGTGTCCCGCCCAGGCCTCACTTTCTGGTGTGAGTGCCCAGCCATCGGACGATGTGTTTTTTGTTCCGTGCGCAGCCGCAGAGGTCCCGACTCCCTCCTCGGGGGTAGCTATCCTTCCATCCTGGATCCGTTTTCGAGGGGTCCTGGGGCCCGCGAAGAGGCCGAAGTCGAGGAGAAGCGCCGGGATTGAATCAGTCGTGTCGTTTCCAGGTCCTAGAGACGGGGATCACTGCTGACGGGGGTCAGTCAGAGCGCCGGATCTTGCAGGACCCTGCAGAGCCAGGGTAGCATTGACCCAGGCTTGGGCGCAGGATCCTGCAGGATCCTGCAGGATCCTGCATGATCCTGCATGGCCTGACTGACCCGGGTTGGGATTGCCCCGGGTCAGTAGGTCCCCGATCGTTGGAGATTTGTCTGCGTATTCCGCGAACGACCTGCATGCATGGTATCGCGTTGGCGTCTCCCGAGGCGTCGTCGATCCTCGACCCAGGAACGGCACGGTGCATAGTCTTGCGCCCCTCGGAGCCGATCAATTAGGCACGGTACCGCGTCGGAGCGTGGCCAGGAGGGAGTCCAGACATTACGGTGCATGTGCACAGTCCTCTAGACCACCGACGTCATGACTTTCCCATGACGTGGACCCTCGGAGGTCTCGACCCAGTCCCCCGGACCGAGTGCTCATCCCGAGGCCTTCTGTGCTGCCCGCTCCCGGGGCCCGGCGAGGGCCCGAGGCCGAGGATTGCCCAGCGCCTCCCGCGGTGGATTCTCCTGGGGCCCGAGGGGCTCCGGGTGCGCACGAGCCTCCTCGTGGCCGACGTCCGGCTGGCAGGCTGCATGCAGGCGACCGCGGCGCCGTCCCGGCCTTCGACGCCGCGCGGGCCCTGCAGCTCGCCCCCGCCGGCCTGCCCCGCGTGGCCGGCACCTGGCCCGACGAGTGAGGCGGCGGGCCGGCCGTGCGCCTCGGCCTGGCCGGGCCTCCCGCGCGCCAGGAGAGAGGGCCTCGCGCGGCGAGGATCGCCCGGCGGAGGGCCGGCGGCAGGCGGCGGCAGCAGGGCGAGGCCGCTTCCGCCGGCGGAAGCCGGCGGCAGGCTGGCGGAAGCCAAGGATGCAGGAGGGGGAAAAGCACACAGACACAGCGAATCGTTGATTCCCAAGAAATCTGGGAAACTATGGGAAGTGGGGGGAAGACGAAGCCCCAAACATATGGGCAATATGGGGAATCTGTTTATTTGTGTGTATCTATTGGTGTGTCCTTTGGGGCTCCGGGTTTCCCGAGCCAGCCACACATGGGGTCCGAGCAGATGGGTCGAGGTCCGTGCGGATTTCTTAGATCTACACTGGCACCCCCTGGCGGCGCGTCAGGCGCCGCCCCTGGCGCGCTCCGCGCGCCATGGACGGGGGCTTAGCGCAGGTCCAAGAAGAATCCGCGCGGACCTCCGACAGTTTACGTTTATGCAGGTTTTTTCTTCTAGTTAATTAAAGGGCGGTCAGGCGTAGGGGCATCGGCATCGTCTCCCAATCGCCCAGTGATCTCCGATGGGGGCCCGATAACCGGGGTTAGTCCACGTCAGCCAGGAGCGTGTGGACGTGCCATCGGGGGTCTATCGCGGATCTATCGGTCAGAGCCCCGAATCACCAGGGGTAACTCGGGTCAGGGCTAACTCGGGCTCGTTTTTCGGGAATCCGAGCCCGAGTTTCCCCTGGCCCGAATTATCCCAGATAATTCGGGCGTCCAAAGCCGCACATCATTAGGGGTAACTCGGGTCATGACTAACTCGGGTTCGTCCTTCGGGAATCCAAACCCGAGTTACCCTGGGCTCGAGTTACCCAGGATTACTCGGGCGCCCAAATCGGCGAGATATCGCCGACTATTTTCCAGCTCGATGACGGGGGCCGTGTCTTCGGGCGCAGGGGCCATCAAAATGCGATCCGCGACGAGGAGTTGGCCCCAGTGATCTGGTCGAGAGCAAAGGTGACGATGTCGGAGGTCTGGACCCTTTCCGACTGGGCGAGTTCGCAAGGTGCACTGTGCCGCACCTCACACGGGCTCTTCGCTCCCACGGGGAGTTTCAACCAGGCCTCCTCCTCCTCCTCCTCCTCCTCCTCCTCCCCCTCCTCCTCCTCCTCCTCCTCCTCCTCCTCCTCCTCCTCCTCCTCCTCCTCCTCCTCTCCCATCATCCTCATGCTCAGCCTCATCCTCATCCTACTCCCAATCCGCCGACCACTTGGTGGCTCACTTACCAAGGGGTTCACGGCGGGTGAGACGAGGCCCCCCCTCCAATCCCCCCCCCCGGGGCCCTCCTGGTGGGGCGAGTCGCACGGCGCCCCAAGTTCCGTGCTCTGTGTTCTCATGGCTTTAGGGCTCACGAGCGCGACCCCCCCCCACCCCAGGAGGGGCCGTTGCCCCGAATGGGGGTGGAGACATCTGGTGCTTCTCCCCTCCTCCCGCTCCTCCCCGAACTGCTCACAACCATTCTGACCGAGACAGTTTTTGGATGTCCGCGTTAATTGTGTTGCAACCACATGTGTCAAACTTCATGCACATAGGGGTTCTTACTTGCCTTCTAAGGAATTGGGCCCGGTTGCCGCCCCAGCGGGTTAGTCCCCACCCGTAGAGGCCGCCCCGTTGTACCCCCTCCGTTGCATTGCAATCGCATGGCATTGCAATCGCATTGCATTGCGTTGCTTGGCATTGCTTTGCAATCGCCTTGCAATCGCATTGCATTGCATTGCAATCGCATTGCGTTGTATGGCTTTACATGATTTTGCACTGCTTGGCATTACTTTGCGTTGCACTGCATTGCATTGCATTGTGTTGTACTTCTTTGCATTGCCTTGCACTGTTTTCCATTGCGTTGCGTTGCATTGCGGTGCATTGCGTTGCATTGCGTTGCACTTCTTTGCATTGCTTTGCATTGCTTTGCTTTGTTGTGCCTTTCTCTGCATTGTGTTGCGTTGCGTTGCATTGCATTGCATTGCGTTTCGCTGCATTGCATTATTTTGCATTGCATTGCGATGCATTGCGTTGCGTTGCTTTGCGTTGCTTTGCGGTTCTTTTCACTGCTTTGTATGTGTCCGCATTGCGCCGCCTTTATTCAGATTGTTTCGCGTTGTCTTGCATTGTGTTGCATTGATTGGCATTGCTTTGCATGTATTCATATTATGTTGCATTGCTTTGCCTTGCTTCGCATTGCGTTACTTTGCGTTGCATTGCATTGTGTTGCAGTGCCTTGCATGGCTTCGCTTTGCGTTGCTTTGCGTTGCATGGCGTTACGTTGCGTTGTGCTGCGCTGGATTGCATTTGTTTTGCGTTGCTTTGAGTTGTTTTGCATTGTTTTGCCTTGTTTTGAGTTGCAATGCTTTGCATTGCTTTGTGTCGCTTGGATATGCTTTGCCCTTCTGTCGCAGTGCGCTGTGTTGCCTTGCACTGCATTGCGATGCTTTGCATTGCATTGCATTGGTTTGCTTTGCATTGCATGGTAGATTGCATTACACTCTTCTGAATTGGTTTGCTGTCCCTTTCGTTGCCTTGCATTGCTGTGCATTGCCTTGCATTGCTGTGCGTTACTACGTATTGGCTTGCGTTTCTTTGCATTGAATTGCATTGCAGTGCGGTTCATTGTTTTGCATTGTATCACATTGCTTTATAGTGCATTGGATTGCTTTACAATGCATTGTTTTACACTGTTGTGTAATGAACTGCTCTTCATCGTTTCGCATTGCATTCTTTTGCGTTGCATTGCAGTGCATTGCAGTGCATTGCTTAGCATTGGTTTGCATTGCTTTGCGTTCCAGTGCATTGCGGTACACTGCATTGTTTTGTTTTGCATTGTATTGCGTTGCGTGGCATGTCATTGCATTCCGTTGCATTTCATTGCATTGCATCTGTGTGTGTGTGTTGTGTTGCATTGCTGTGCATTGCTTGGCATTCCATTGTGTTGCGGTGCATTGCTTTGCATCGCATTGCAGTGCTTTGCATTGCATTACATCGATGTCCGTTGCTTTTCATTGTCTCCCGTGGCCTTGCACTGAGAAGCATTTTGTTGGATGGCTTTTGCAGTGCGTTGCATTGCGTTGCGTTATTTTGCATTGCACTGCTGTGAATTGCTTTGGTTTGCGGTCATTGCTTGGCATGGCATTGTTTGGCATTGCGTTTCATTGTGTTGCCTTGCTTTGCGTTGCCTTTCTGCTCATTGGCTTGCATTTCGTTGTGTTGCATTGTGCACTGCGTTGCATTGCGTTGCATTGTGTTGCATGGTGTTGTTTGCGTTGCTTTGCGTTGCAGTGCATTGCCTTGCATTTATTTACATTGCAGTGTGTTGCTGTGTATTGCTTTGCATTATTTCGCACTGCCTTATATTGTGTTGCGCTGTTTTGCGTTGCGTTATTTCTTGTTGCTTGGCTTTGCATTAGGTTGTGTGGTTGTGCGTCGCGTGGCATTGCATTGTGTTGCTTCGCATTGCGTTGCAATGTGTTGCTATGCTTTGCATTGCTTTGTATTGCAGTGTTTTGCGTTGTGTTGCATTGCTTTCCATTGCATTGCATTACTTTGCCTTGCGCTGCACTGCTTTGCCTTGCGTTGCATTGCTTTGCGTTGCTTTGCATTGCTGTGCGTTGCGTTGCATTGCTGTGCATTGCGTTACATTTCATGCCATTGTTGTGCAATGTTTTGCATTGCACTTACTTTCTTTGCATTGTTGTGCATTGCATTGCACTGCATTGCATTGCTGTATATTGCTTTGCTTTGCATTGCGTTGCATTGCTCTGCATTGCTTTGCATTGCATTGCAGCGTTCTGCATTGCTTTGCATTGATTTGCATTGCTTTGCATTGTAACCCTTTGTTTGTAATTGCATTGTTTTGTTTTGCGTTGCATTGCATTGCGATGCCATATTGGGCAGTGCTCTGCTTTGCAGCGATTTGCATTGCTTTGCAATATCTTGCCTTGCTTCGAATTGCTTTGCATTGCTTGGCATTGCATTTTAATTATTGCATTGATCTGCTTTGCTTTGCATTGTGCAACACTACATTGCATTGCCTTGCACTGCACACTCGCATTGTGTTGCATTTCTTCGTATTGCTTGGCATTGCTTTGCTTTGCATGACATTTCAGTGTTTTGCTCTGCGTTGCATTGAATTGCTGCGCATTCCTTTGCTTTGCGTTGCATTGCTTGGCACCGAATTGCATGGCTCTGCATTGCATTACATTGCTTTGCTTTGCTTTGTACAGCGTTTCTTTACATTGCATCGTTCTGCATTGCTTTGCTTTGCTTTGCGTTGCGTTGGTTGGAATTTCGTTGCTGTGTATTGCTGTGAATTTCTGCGCATTGCTGCGCATTGCTGTGCATTGCATTGCCTTGCCGTGCATTGAAGTTGTTTGCGATTATTGCTGTGCAGTGCTTTGCTTTGCACTGCATTGGTTTGCTTTGTATTGCTTAGCATCGCTTTGCATTGCTTTGTATTGATATGCATCTCTTTGCGTTGCTTTGTATCGATTTTCATTGTTTTGCGTTGCTTCGCATTGCATCACATTGCATTGCTTTGCATTGGTTGTCATGGCATTGCATTTGTTTGCATTCTATTGCTTTGCATTGCCCGGTTTCGCATCAGGAGTAGTTTCCGAGTGGTTGGGCCTGGGCGGACCGATCTTGGGCCCGAGGTGAGCCGGGCCACGATGGGCGAGGTGGGCACAGCGGAATGTTTCCCCTTCAGGAGGAGAAGGAGGAGGAGGAGGAGGGAGACAAGGAGGAGGAAGGAAGGAGGTGGGAGGGGAGAAGGAGGAGGGATGGAGAGTGGAGGGATGAGGAGGAGGAGGCGGAGGAGGAGGAGGAGGAGGAGGAGTTGAAGAAATGGAGGAGGTCTTGGAGGAGAGAGGGGGGAGGAGGGAAATATCGAGGGAGGGAAGGAGGGAGGAGCGGGAGGAGAGAGAAGGAGGAAGCGTAGGAGGAATGAGAAGGAGGGGCCAAAGCAAACCCAAGATGAGTTAGCGATGCTGTAA